CAACCACTGGGCCAGAATGTCCCGTTCAGAGTAGCTCGATGCTTCGCTACAGCTCTATATAGCGTTTTTACGACGCTAGATACTGGGTACCGTTTTTTCCTTATGATACTATTATTTGCTGTTCTGTACTAGCCTTTTCTATAGGCTGCCTATCGTTCTTGCAGCCTACCTATGTACATACGCAGCCTCATCTTTCGCCCAAGGGGGTGTGTCAGAGGTCGGGTCACGTGACCCCTGTTTCCTGTTTAGGTTTGGACTCATTTCGGCTGCTTTGTCAGCTCGAGTATATTTTCTCGCCTCCTTATGTAGTTGAATCAATAATCCGATTTCTCCAACTCCATCACATTGTCACAGATCTGAGCTCTATCAATTCGCCCCTTCGATCAAATCTATTGATCCAGGAGCATAGATTATGTACGAATCTGCAGAAAAGAACCCCTAATCGCCGGCCAGGATCACCGGTAATTGAAAGATATGAAAGCCTCGGGTAAGGTTCGGTGAACAACCAAAGCTAACAACTGGGCCACATGCAGGTCGTTCTCACAATTCTCTACAACCCTCGCTCTTCTGTGCATGTATGTGGTCCGTCTACTGTGGGTTTCACCCGAAGTAGTGTCGCGAGCAGGGAATTGAACGGGGTCAATTTTTTACCTAGAAAATTATTGCGTGGTCCGAGGTCACTTCCATAAACCAGTGGACACTATACGGTCGTTTTTTTTTGGGTATAGGACGTCGTCCCCGGCTTTTCACACCCACTCCCCCGACATTACCCTCAACTTCAGAGCTCCAGCAAAATTAAACATGATTCAAGCAATTTTGGCTTTCATTGCGGGCCTTGTAGCCCATCACGGCTTTTTCATTCGCGGAGAATGGCATCTGAGAATCGAAAAGATACTGGCTACACATCTCCTGGTTGCATCACTCCTCGTTCTGTTGATGAAGCAAAATACTGATGCCTTCGCTGAAGTTTTCCAATCTCTTGGTAGGATCATTGTATTCTACCTAACCTCTCTTTTTGGGAGCATAACAATCTATCGTCTATTCTTCCATAGGCTCTCGCATTTCCCTGGACCAAAGCTTGCTGCCGTCAGTAAACTGTGGCACGTTTTTCATATCCTCGACTCGAAAAATTTCCGCTTTATGCAGAGGATACATCACCAATATGGCGACTTTGTAAGAACCGGTAAGTTGATGAATTTTGTTGAAAGTATCTCCCATAGTTAAGACAATTAGGCCCAAATGAGATTGCGATTTTTCATCCAGACGGTCTATATGCCTTGGATGGGTGGAACAATGAAAACTCAAAGGATGTTTGGTACGATCTTTTGCATCCGATGTCGTCGGCTATATTCACTCGCGATCCACAAGATCATAAGGAACGAAGAAAACCATGGGCCCAGTCGTTCTCACGTAAATGCAAGCCACCCGAATTACTTTCTTTTTCCGTCCCTGAAATATGGCTAACACAGCGCAACAGCCATGGGTTTATTTCACCCTAGAATTGCCACCATATCAGATAAACTCGTACGCTGCATCGAGAGACACGAAGGAGAGGCTACTAATGTCTGTGAAACCATGCGCTGGTTTGCCCTCGACATAGTCGGTGAGATAATGTTCGGCGAGGACTTCAAAATGTTAGATACGCAGATCAATATCCCATTCACGACGCACCGTGCCCGAGCGATCGCCGTCCTGGGCCCGTTTGCAGACGCTCTGTGGATTGCGCGCCTTGCGTTCGTCGTTTTGCCATTTTCCCCGAGGGCCCGCGATTATACGAAGACAGTAGAGTTTGCGTACAGCCAAATAAAAGAAAGGATGCAGGTCAGTCTTTTCCAGCGAATCGTTCATTGCCAAAATTTGTCACATGCTAAATTCTATATATAGCGAGGCCCAAAGGACAAAAAATTTGATATGTCGTCACTATTCATTGAAGAGTATCACTCCCTGAAAAGTTCGAAAACCCTAGAGGAGAGAAACAACTTATTAGCGGGATCGGTTGTTTCGGCAGTGATGGCTGGCAGGTGAGTACAGTTACTTCCAAAAGACTTGTGACAAAACTTGCAGCAAAACTTGCTTCGCCTTACGCAAAACATTGAAAGCTGATTATTACATTCAAGTGAAACAACGCAAGCTGCTCTCATTGCAACCTGGTGGTTTCTTGCGAAATACCCAACACATGCCGACAAGATCCGCTCAGAGGTGTGCAATATCGACATCGACAATCACGACGCGCTTGCTGCATTGCCACATCTCAACGGTGTTGTGAACGAAGTGTTGCGCCTTGTACCCCCTGCGTTGACGGGCACCCCGAGGGTGACTGGTCCCAATGGCCTCGTGGTTGACGGGACGTTCATCCCGCCCTTCACCAAAGTGGTGGCTCCCAGATACGTCATCAAGAGAAGTACGTCTCTGCATCTTCATTCTTTATTTTACTATGTCTTGATAAAGACGCTAATTTACTTACAGGAGACTCCGCATTTGTTCACCCGGATGAGTTCATCCCCGAAAGATGGTATTCTCGCCCTGAGTTGATCCTGCATAGCAGAGCCTTTGCACCATTCTCCTACGGAACCCGTCAGTGTCTTGGTAAGCCGCTTGCATATGCAGAACTTCGATTGGTGACAGCAAAACTGGTGCACCTATTCAATGTGCGTTTTGCTCCTGGTTATGATGAGGATATTATGTGGCGGGATATGCGTGACCAGGCCACGGCTCAACCGGGGAAATTGATGTGCGTTTTCGAGCGGAGAACACAAGCGGATAGCACCGTCAATGTAAATAAAGGAACCTAGGGGTCATGGGCTGCAGTGTATCGCACAGCAAATTATGATTAGTTTCCCCGAACATTATGCAACAATCTATACATTCCATGAGCCGAATTTACAACAATAACTTTGGAGCGCCCAAAGATCTACATGTGGACTCGTCGACCGGAAGCCCAAACTCGTGATTGTTACAGGTTCGCTGCTGAGTAAACGAATAGACTGTCATCTCTGTCCTCCCTGGATAAAGAAATCTTCAAAGTATCCGGGGGAATCGATTTGTAGTGTTTGGACGCGAAAACTATTGGATAACCCATTTGAGAATGTCCAGGGACCGTCTGCTGATCCTAGTCCAAGTGATACCAAGTCCTCGGCGTATTTAACTTCGATTTGAACTTTTACAGATGCATTGGCGTTGGATGTGACTAAGAACGGAAAGCCTGCGACTTCAGTGCCATAGTCTAGGGTGATGACCAGAAAAGACGTAGACAGCGTGATAGAGGTACTATTATCGTAGGAGAGCTTTTGCGTTATGTTCGACGGGTCATTGGCATAGTATGCGGTTGGATGCACATTGCCATAATTAACGAATCTGTACCATTTTAGTAGATTGTTCCGACCAGATGATATTGTATGTACTGACGCGTATGCTCTGCTATATGCCAGAGCAGCGATTGCCAATTGCTTAAATCTGAACATAACTGCTTCAAAATGAAGACCAAGTTTTCGCTGCAGAGTCCAAGTCGTCTCTACGATGGATCTGTATGTAATAATATCGCCGAGTGTTTTTGGCCATTCGGCACATAAGATTGTCCCCTCGGTATGTGGAGGAGAACGCCACATTTCGAGCAATGCTTGGTGAACAAGCTAACCCTTGCCGAAAGGGAGATACTATCTCCTTTACTAGAATAGAATTGCTTGAGCGCGTGAGGTGTACAGCCTTGATGTCGCTCGACATTGCGCCGAGCCTAGGGTTTCTGCATGGATGAAGTCAAGTGCTTCCTGCTTTCGGCGTATTCGTCCCCGCCATCGCGACCGGATCTCATTTTCCTACAGGTTTCTCCGCGTTTTCGACAGACATCAAGAGAAATGACGATGGCGATCTGTGAAGATGCCGAAATTGTGCCGCTGAATCGTGGAGGTCTAGCTTGAGGGGCTCAGGCGTCTACCATGATCGTGGCACTGGCGCTGAACGTAGTTATCGGGATGTCGCATATCAAACAAGCAGAATCTCTAGATGAAGGGAAATGCAATAGTTGAACTGTGTCGAGAAACACTGCAAGGTGTTTTGATACTGCAAAGGTTCTTCACGTTAGCCATCACCTTGTACCTCCACCTCTCGCTTAGCCTCGCCCGGCCCACCGCGGAGCGCACCACACTTTAACGCAATGAAAAACAGCGGCCATAGTACAGGTAGCTTGTACCTTTGTAGCTCCCAGTAAATGTAAATTCACAAGTAGGAAGCTGTGGTGTTTTGCAGTGGGCTTGAAAATGTACATATGTATAGCTTCCGCGCATACATCCAATGACGGTCAGGAAGCTTGATTGCCGAATAGGAAATTGAGGGGTACCTATGTAACTCCCGAAGGCTGGTCAGGAACAAGGCCAACGTAAAAACTACAGTGACTACGGACGAATCAGATCGTCAGATCGTGGTGCTCTCGTAGCGTAGCACTTGAGATGATGTGAAAAAAAAAGGCAAGGGTTGGGAGCCACTAGGTTAGCCTGCTTGATGGAGCCTCAGTGAAGTCTGAGTGATGCCTGACTCACACTTCAGCAAAATTCCTCAAATACTACATATATTATGGTACCATCAGAAAATTCAACAATCACAAGTAGGTGAGATGGCCGAGCGGTCTAAGGCGCCAGGTTCAGGTTCTGAACCATACTTCCTGGTCAAGAAATTGGCGTGGGTTCGAATCCCACTCTCATCAAGTGATCATTTCTTTTTTTGCTTTTTGTTGTCCATCACAATGTGGGTCGTCTTTTTGCTCCTAGACTGCACACCTCCACGCTACTCCATTACCATATAACTAGCAGCTTCCTCGGTTTGAAATTTTGTGGAGGCCTGAGATCTTTAAGATCCATTGTTTTGGAAATTTTTGCACCGTCCTTAATTGGAAAAGATCTTTACCCGTTCTTTACCCGCTACATCGATAGAGAGGAGTTTCCAGCAGTGGTCTTTGACGGAGGCTAGGAAATTTGCCACGTGAAAGATGAATTCCTCGATTAAGAAGCTCCTTGGTGAACTCTAGAGGATTGACGAGTCACGAAACGTTCTCAGATCCACTACGATGGAAGAAGCATCTGGCGGAGCTTCACCACCGAATCAGACATTCATGCCTTTGTCTAGATATAAATCTCGTCACCCTCACAGGTGTGAGTTATGGTTAGGGCGGACGGATACCTGTATACATACCTAGGTGACTGCTTTCCAGCACACACAGATAAATAACTAGCCACGTGATATCCATATTATACATTTGATCTTCAAGAAGTCTCAAAATCCCCAAAAAGCGAAGCGAGATGTATCAAAAGAAGCTGGATCACTCCACCTGATAGACTACAGGCCTTCTATATACTGTGTTTTGATCACTATTTAGACTTGCCTAGGGCCTTAAACTATAACAAGTAAGGTTCGTTAAGTGCGGGTTTTCCTATCCTATAAGAGGACGGTATACCCTTTAATATATAAAGAGATGTTAAGAGAATAATAACAAATCTGTCGAGAGTTTATAGTCGACTCTCATTTCTCGTGTAGAGCTGATTATTTTATTTTCCGCACTGTAAACTCTGGCTACCTTGTAGGAAGTACATATGTTTATACTAGATGCTAATACTTCTTTCATATTTTATAGGTGTTTTTATACTCTAAATACGAGTACCAACCTCTAGTTAGCCGGGATTCTTACGGTTTCTCTCACGTGTAGTACTTATGCATACTAAGGATCAGCATGCGATTTGTGTGGCTGACATGTATATAATGGGTGTGATTGTGGATACTCTCTCACCTGGGAGATCATTGCGGAACATTTACACTTCAAACAGATATGTTCAGTTTAGCATCTAGTTCCATTCCATGCATTGTTACGTGTAATTCGAAACACCGAGATGATATCGATTAGGAGATCCACCCCTGTTGATCAAAATCAGATTCAAGCGGTCGGCATACCTGTGTTGATACCGTGAGTAGTCTATGTAGAATAGTGGCGAAGATGAACAACTTGTCATCCGGATTAAGAGTGATCGAAGTTATGATGTTGTTCGCCTCCCCTCCCCTTCCCCATACCCATGTCCGCGGACCAACAAAACGGCCGCAAGGATAACTGCCTGGGGGTAAAGGACTTGATGAAAACCTCATATGCTAGTTATAGTACCACTTTCCACCTCGCCATCAGAGTCTTACTGCATTTAGGTGGATCAATGTAGAAATAGATGTTCCTATACCTACGGTAGACATGTATGGTAATAATAGTTATTCCGTTTCGGTTGGTCTGTCCCGTTTTTATCAAAAAAGTTTTACTTGCACGTTGCGTCTTAACCTACAGCATTTGATGCTAGACAATAACGGTCAAAGGTGGTGTCGATGCTCCAGTGTGCGTTCCGCGGAGATGAATGTTTCGTCGGAGTTAAGCGAGTTGGATGAAACGTCCCCGGTAAACGGTGTAACTACAGCATCAAGCATGTCGTCGTTGACAATTTGATTAGAGGAGATATATGCGTGGCAACTGTGCCATGTACGTGCCATCAGCACACTGGACTTGTGGCGCGGGTATCGCTTGATTTACTACAGTATTCGCCACATCTAACCCGTTGTGATTAGCATCCCTGTCATTTCCCAATTTCGCATGATTGTATCCGCAACGCATCTAGACCGTGGCTTCACAGGGTCTACACATGCAGCTCACACAATCCTAGTGTCATCTCAGCGTGTTCGTCGCCTTTTTCCATCCGTTAAATTCACGCGCGTGCCACAACAGTTTGTGTAGACGTGAACGATTCTCTTCGTTCTTGTTTCATTCCTTGATACAAGAAATGACCCTTATGAACGATGTCTCTGGAAAGTCGTTTCAGGAAGCAACCACCGACGAACGGCGTGCCCGTGAGCTCTACAAATATTTTTGTCCGCCAGCCAACAATGGGGAGTCGCCTGATCCCATCCTCACCGCCCACGCCCAATTGGTTGCATGGCGCCTCAATGCGGAGCGTTCCATGATAACGCTGATCGACGACACAATACAGTATTTTGTTGCCGAGAGTACGAAAACGCTCCATCTTGACAACGCCCACGAACATGATCATCCTGATGACGCGATATGGGCCGGTGTATTTTTTATCTGACCTCTACCTGGCGATGACTTCACTTACTCTTCCCATAGTGTGTCAGAGTCTCAAAAGCAGGAAGACTCTGTGAGCATACCGTCGCCGCAACACCACCAGAATCTGGGGGCCCAGCGTGTTTCGAAGTCCTCGATCTCAGCAAAGACACCCGTTTCAATGCACTGGAGTTCGTGGCTGGGCCACCCCACTTCAAGAATTACGCTGGAGTGCCACTACGCACACGGAAGGGAATTAATATTGGCTCCATCTTCGTAATCGGCAGCAAGGTCAGACCTGCGCTCACCACAACCGAGTGGCATTTCCTTGCAGGGGTAGCGGACAATGTAATGCAGCATTTGGAAATGGTCAAGGACAGAAAGGATTGCGCGCGCGCCCTCAAAATGAGTGCATGCATGTCTGCCTACGTTGATCCATTGCACGGAGCTGTACGCCCTGAGCCCCAACTCGGCATCGACGATTCTTATTTCTCCTTACCGTTGGCCAAAGATGGATCTGGTTTTAGCTACAAAGACGGCAACATTGAGCGTCTGACTACATTTAGGCGTGCAGCAAGCTTCTTGTTGAAGGGACTAGATTATGACGAAAGTGGAGGTGGTGTAATGTTTCTGGACACACTGCCATCTAGTTTTTACCCTGATCATGGTTCCAGCAGCGAGGAATCCGATGAAGATATCAACGAGCCATCCATCGGACACCAATCCGCGGATCAAGCTACAGCCCAAGGGAGGAAAAGTCCTGGGTCGACTACTGCTGAAATTCTTGCTCACGCCACTCAGCCCGCTAGAATCGCTAGTAAAAATGAGCCTCCAGTAGCACGTATAAACATTCCATCACCGAAAGATCTTTCTAGGCTCGTTAAACATCAGCCAAATGGGAAACTATACACTTTCGATTCACAAGACCACGCCTTGGCCAGCTCCTCGGAAGAATTTTCTACTTCTCCCAGCAGGCCCAAAACCCCGAAAACATGGACCAGAAGTGCACGGAAAAACGAAATCAATAAGCTTCGACACTGTTTTCCGATGACCCGCCAGATAGTATTTCTTCCGATTTGGGATTCGTCCACCTCTCGCTGGGTTGTGTGCCTTGCCTATCACGGCTCGAGATTTCGGAACTTTTCGCATAAATCTGAATTCGTCCAATGCGCTACTTTCGGGAATACCATTGTTGCTGAACTTACCAAAATGGCTAGCCAGCAAGCCAGTCAACAGAAGAGCGACTTCATGGCATCTATCTCGCATGAACTTCGCTCGCCATTGCATGGCATCTTAGCATCTTGCGAATTTCTAGAGGATACCCAAATAACACCATTTCAACAGGCGCTGATAGGCACCGCGGATAGTTGCGCGCGTACACTGTTGGACACCATCAACCAGGTGTTAGATTATAGCAATATCAACAACTTCGAAAAAACGAAAGATCATGCCAGAAAAGATAGGCGCGAGCGCTCTATGAACAGCCAGTCTAAGGCTTTACAGTCAAGGTTGAGCATGCATCGTACAGTTGATGTTGCTGCTCTGATTGAAGAAGTTATCGACGGGTTGGTTGCCGGCCATGTTTTCGGAGGTCGAGTGAAGCGCACAAGCTTTTCCACAATTCATCCTAGCGCTACAGAATCGCCGGGTGGGGCTATGGGTAGTGTCGAAGTCATCCTTGACATCGTAAATAATGACTGGACGTTCTGTACAGAACCTGGCGCACTCCGGCGGATACTCATGAATCTTGTCGAGAACGCGATTAAGTTTACCCAGGATGGTTTTGTGCACGTTAAGGTTGAAAGCGGTACACAGGACTTAACAGGCACCCCTTTCATCAATCTGACAATCGCCGACTCCGGACAGGGCATAGCGCCTGGTTACTTGAAGGATAAAGTCTTCTCGCCCTTCTTTCAAGAATCAAGTTTGACCACGGGCACTGGCCTTGGATTATCACTGGTCAAGTCGATCATTCATACTATGGGTGGCAAGATCAATGTCGACTCAACTATGGGTATAGGAACCAAAGTGACAGTCAAGCTTCCTATGGTTCGTGGATCGTGGACGGCCCAAGAAAAGAAGGAGAATACGGATCCCATACTCTTTGACAACGCTGCCGAACGGAAAAGGAGTGTAGCAATCAATGCAGTCAGGATCAAAGCGCTTGGTAAAATGGCAGCTCTTCACTGGTACGAACCTATAGGAGCTTCACCCAACCAAATCAAGGCGACACGTTTGTTGCAAGCGAGCCTAGCGATGTACCTTAGTAGATGGTTTGGGTTATCGTGGTCTCCATGGCAACAGGGTCTCACATACGATATTGTTATAACGACTTGTGATGGCTTAAATACTCTCAAGGAATCGGCCCCACACTTATTCACGGATGGTTGTCAAGACACGGTTGTAGCTATTGCAACTGCTGCTTCACAGCTCCCCCTCAAGGCTTCACATCTCAGCGGTCGCAACTTCATTGTCCTGAGTAGTCCTTTTGGACCTTCTAAAATGGCCCACGTGCTCGAATTGTGCCTGGACAAGTCCAGATCGGGTACAGGTCATAATAGCAAGGATCAGAATGACGAGACTGAGAGCAACATCCTAATTGATGGCGAACAAGCCTT